GCATTCTATGATTCTATGATTTCCCCAATCCATTAGGCCTATGCACAGAACACAGGCTCAAAGGTCAGCAGTGATGATGGATGGTCTAGAAGAGGAATTTCACCTAACGTCTGCCTCAGAGAAAAGGTATTAGTATGGCATACTAGAGTTTATTAGTCTCAGAAATAATCTCCACAAAGCATGTGTATATTTCCACCTTTAATAGGGTGGATGACGCACAGAGTCTGTATTCCAGGAGCTTGGGGTTACATTTCCTTCCCTGACACTGTTCTGGAAGCTTTTCCAGTGTTGTCACTGTGAGGGCACAGGGAAATTGGTACAAGTATCTTCTCTGAAGGTGACATCACATATTCATCCTTCTTATCGTGAACTAGACAATGTTGCAGTCAGCCTGGGGCCGGTGCCGGGCAGAGTCTCCTCAGCAGACCGCGGCTGAGCAGGAGAGGCGGGAGCTGAAGCCACGTGGGTAGCGTGTGACCAGGGAACTCATTGGGCGGCCTCGCGCGTGGTCGGCGTGTGATCACCTGCCTGATTGGCTGGTTGGGTTGCTGGGCTCCGCCTGCCGGGCAGGGCAGGGGCTGCTTAGCGATGAGGAACTAGTTGTGTTTAAGCCTAAATAAAGGTCTTTGGCTCACCATCACAGAGACCCTGCTCCTCCATACGCCCGCAGGCAAGGCAGGTGAAAAGCACTTTTATGCATCTCTCCTTGCAAACAAATTATGAAAACTGCATGCTTTAAATAAACACGGACAGCTAAAACAGACATGTGTGTGCAGTCAACTCTTTGAAAGGAAACCTTTTTTTTTTTTTTTAAAAAAAAAGAAGAACCCTGATTCGGCCTTCAGTCTGTTCTTGCTTCACCAAACAGATCCCCTTTCTAACTGGCTTTGAATGCAGGATCCTTTCTCTAAGAACAGACTGTCCTGCAGCACTCTCCGGTGAGATTTCACATTCATAATTTTATTATAATCTGAATAGAGGTGATATCTGAAGAACTGAGAAAATTAATTACAAAGAACTTACAGAACATTCATTTACACAATGGAGACCTTTCGTTGCTTCTTTACAATTCAAAGAAAAAGGAAAAATTTTCACTAATAGGTAAATCCAAGAAGGTAATATTAAAATTTTAATGATACTGTTGGATACATGGGAACCATTTAATTAAAAACATGGCTTTTAACATTTTTGTAGTTTTAACACTGTGAGATTATAGTAGTACATTTAACAAGCAGGTTAATAGGAGCCTGACTAATATATGTGTCACCTTCCTGTCATTACATATGAGAATGCACATACACATCCACCAAAAACCTTGGAAAAAAAGTGCTGTATTAACTATTTAGTCATGTGTTTGCCATGAACGTAAGTTCTGTTAATGCCTTCCTACCTACACTATACAATGGTACTTAACTGAAATGGCTTGCTTTTGTGCATTTTTTCAATTCATTAAAAAGCAAAAGCGCGTGGTAATATACCATCCAAGGAATGCCTAATAGAACAGGGCAGCTTTCTCTTT